CAATATAAGATTCTTCTTCTTTTTTTTTTTTACTTTGAAAGTTATAACATATCCACAATTTGAATTAAATAATTAATATGTAGTTTTAATATACAAAGAAAGTACGTAACTTTTACTTAAGATTACTTTGAACAGTTGAAACGGCCTAACGAGGTAATCACATTAGTATAGCATACCCTTAACATTATTTGATTAACGTAAAATTCGACAATCGGGTTCACCTTTGTCCTACTTACATCAAAGACTTGTTTGATTTGACAGCAATTTACACCATGTTTCTTGGTTGTTTGTGAACTATTGTTAAATAATGATGTTTTATGATTGTTACCGATAAACTTAACTCCTTAACTTTATTACACCAATTACCTTTATCACTTGTTTATTTACCTAATCACTTTCGCTATAGAAAATGATAGGTGAGATGTATGATCTAGATTTAGACTCGGAACTTTCAAACATCGCGACTTAACGAGTTTATCGAAGGCGGCCGATTTATGATAAATTTTCTATGCGTATATATTTGTAATGCTGTTATGCTTTGTTTCTTCAAGGCCTAATTGTTCTGTGCATACATTAACAATGTACTTCATACATATAAAATTGTTCTTAGCATTCTCAGTGAAAACTATAGAAAGAAATTCTAGATTTATAATTAACGCATAATGTATATATGCTCTGAAGAAAACTTTAGATTTCAATGATATTAACCAATACTGTAGGTGAAGTTTCTGTTTCAGTCATTCAGCGAACAATGTAAATTAACAGCAAGTCCAATGTATTGAACCAGAAACGTGTTCAAAATGGTTACAAAAATTACTCTTTTATTTCATGTATACTATTTTGATTTTTAAAAACAATATTTCTACTTTTATATTCAGTTCCGTAAAATAAATGCTGCCGCATCTATGTAGAAAACGACAAAAATAATTTCAGCTTCTTAGAAAAATAGCAACAATGATGCACACTTACATCCAGAAATATTTTTTTTAAAAATCAGAAAAAATGTAACCGTAGCACTCTGGTATAGCAGCTGTTGGTTGTCAATTAGACTGATTTCGGAAACAGCGCGATCAAACTGCAAGTACCGACAAGGCCAAATGTTTCCTCTTTCCTCGCGATTTTACCAAAAATAAATTGAGGATCTTCTTCCTTAGTTGCTCTATAAAAGAGCTGTTAGAGTTGAAGGGAAGCTCCAAAAAGAAATTTAAAACTATCCACGAAAAAAAAGAACAATTTAAGCATTTTTCCCACATCAACAACATTAACAATTTTTGATGTATTCATGTTTGAAAAAAATGAAATTATAATAATCTGTAATGAAATATGATAACTTTTTTTTCTTAACCTTTTTTTTTTTACAATCTTAGTTATTCCAAAATAAAACATCAGAATTTTTTTTTAAAATTGTGTTCCATTTTCTCAACCTAGGAAATCCAGAACATAAGTATATGAAACAAAAGATAATAAACTAAGGAGAATTTGAGTGAAAGAAATTGAAAAAAAAATTAAAATAGCATTGTTTCCAGTTGTATATACACGAGTTATTTATCCACATTGTTATATTCACATGTATACGAAGCGGTATATTGCAATTCAGAAAAAAGAATATATATTACATAAATCGGCTTTCTTATTTTTCATAATTGCAAAACATTGATATAATTTTAACCTCTTATATGTACTCCGCAGAATAAAGTTGTTGATGTAAAGTAGAAAAGAATTAAATATATAAAATAAAATGCCTAAATGACCACATTTGCTTATTACATCAATTACATCGGTCTTTTTTTTTCTCTCTTTCTCTCTACTGTAAATCATGGAACAGGACATTAAATAGACACAACCTATTGATGACAAGTACAAACAAAATCCAATAAGAAAAAAATTGTCTTTTTGATATTTACATATACATATGATACCTAAAATGTATTTCTAAAACGTTATTATTTATAACATTTAATACTTTTTTTTCTGTGATGTTTTTTGACGTTATTATAAAAGAGAATCACAAGACCATCTACAAAATCATTTACATTTTATTCAAGTATTTAAGTCTTCCTCGTCTTTTGATTTCCATTTTTTCCCCTCCTTTTGACGAGGATCATAGTGAAAAATAGAACATATTCTCAAAATGTCGACTTTTATAATTAAATCGTGATACACAAAATCGAAACTCTCCAAATTTACTTTGAAACGTGACATCTCTGGTCTTACTCCTACTTGATATATCTATCATCTGTCAATGACCATCCCAGGCGCTTGAATTTACAGGGTACTTACCATTTGGAAATGACCATTTTATGTGTCTTCTTTGTGACATAATATAAAACAAAGACTTGCTATTCAAGGAATGTATGAAAAACACTGAACAGAATATATTTTAATATTTAAAGAATTCTTAAAATGGTTCTCTTTCTCTCTCTCTCTCTCTCTTTTAATATGTTAAAGCTATGTTGCTGTTCAATGATTCCGCAGTAAATGAAATCACGTCATAAGATCAAATTGTTTTCAAAGGGGAAAATGTCAATAATAGTAATAATAATAATAATAATGATAATAATGATAATTATAATGAAATAAATAAAATTCTTATAAAAAGTCAAAACTCATTATATATGAAAACATTAATTAGAAAAACCCCAAGTTTGATATCTTCTGTGTTAGCCAATGTTTATCTCTAATATATATATATATATATATATATATAAACACTTTAATTTTTTTTAACATGTAATCAAAATTCCAGAGACTTTTTTCTGTGAACTATCTAAAAAAAAAGGAGAATTCAAATTGTTATTGATAATCTCGGTTAGATGTGTTTTTTCTTCAAAAAAGTATCAAATTTCTATAATATTTGTAATAATTTTATAATATTTGATGGGTTTTGAGGATAGACGGAACTCGTGTATATTTCTTATAAAGTATCTAAAGGAGTTTCATAATCTGGATAATAATAATAGACGGAACTCGTTTCAGAAATGTCTCTAAATTGTTACATTAGTACATAACCAAAACTGATTCACAAGTCTGTTCCTCGTGTAAAGTTTATTACAATGAATCAATAAAAAATTAAAATACGAGGGTGGATCCAAAAGTCATGTTACAGCTGCAATAAACTCTTTAAAGTTTTCAACAAAACTTTATATAGTAATACCTCTATCATCTTTTGACTTTTGCCTTAAAATTTCACTCACATATATGCCATACTTTATAAAACGACTCAAAACAAGATAGCTTATAGCAAAATGACAGGAAAGATTATTAAAAAAAAGAAGAAGCAAATGAGGGGTTAAAAAGATATGCGGATGAACTGAAAATGAGTGTCGAAAAGTAACGTCATAACGATCGACGTCGTTAACATTCTTGCCGTGCGGCGATAAACAAAACCTAACGTTGTGTTTATCTTCATGTTTTAAAAAGTATTTTACATAATCGAACGAAACTGTAAGTCAAAAAGCAAATTAGAGAGGGGTATTAGTAATTTAGTATGTTAAATTTTGTTATTAAAGATTGTATTGCAATTGTGACATAACTTTTTGATCAACCTAAGTAAAAAAAAAAAAGATCCCACTGTCTATTGTATATATTTTATATTTCTACACATACAGTACATTTTACATACTACGGCGTCTTCTAATAAAGTCGTATAATACAGAGCACGCGCTCCATCGTTCCTGTTACAAGATAAACTTATCATATGATTTAAATATGAATTCATCAAGCACATTGCACACTTAAACAAAGATTATATTCTCGATACTCAGATTAAAAGTAGATTAAAGCCTACATCTTAGCAGTCTAGCGGGTGGAGTGTCGGCGCTCTCAGATAATTCACCGCTCATTAAGCGTTAATTTAGGGCAATATTTGTATTATACAAAAAGCCCTTTTCACTCGCTTGATAACGCTTCATGTATTAATGGAAGTGATCAGATCTTAAGTACAATTGTTGTCAAAGCACTAATTTGTCTGAAGATGTTTACAGTCGCGGATTTTGATGTGTCCCTACAAAATCTATCACCTTTGTTTATTTTAAGGTGTTAGTACTTTTGTTGACTTATTAGCTAACAAAGGATTAACACAGTATTCTTAACACTATTAATATTAAAATATACCCAATAAGTAACAAAGATCAATAACATCCAGTAATCATATAATGGATAAAAGACCTACTGAGGTATATACTCCGCAAACAACATAAAAGGCATTCTACACTTTCTATCTCCATTTGTAAACAAAATTGTATTAGTATTTAGCTTTTTTTTTATTAAGCCACTATAAGCAGGTTGTGCGATAATTACGGAAGTACCATCGAGATGCGATAAATCAACGCCCCCTGGTGGCCTGCACATATAAAATTCACCAGTTTGCACTTTTCTACTTACATACTCACTCACTTCATGAGGACAAACAGTTACCTACAATATTTATCTCTTTTTAAAATTTAGTTTAGCAAGGATATACTTTTGAACTTTGGTTTTTGGTAAGTGCTTTTCCTTATTTTAAAAATGATAGAAATCGGTATTTGATCTGCTTTTATATATACTTTTATAAATAATATATATTTACAGGAAGCTTTTCGACCCTGACTTAGAGAAACTATTCCCAGATTATGAAATCTAAATTTATTCAGAATTGTTCATTTTTTTAATGCTGCTTATGTCATACGTTTTGTAGAAATTTCCTTTTAGAGTTGATTTTTTTTTGTTTATATTGAAATGTAGATTTTGTAGACAGAATAGCTCTCTATTCTTCTTTATCTTAAAACACATTATTATTATGGTTTAATCATTTGAAGATTCTTTTAATGGACTAATTAAATAATATTAAATTTCTATGCAACAGAAATATTAAAATTGGAGGAAAAATTGGAAGAATGAAACACACAATGAACACATTGCAATTAAGATGTTAAAACATAAATACACATTATAAGATATAAGTATATAAATTTTTTTCTGAGTACTATTAAAACTACTTTTTGAATTTCAGATTATCAGCTATGAGTAGTCCAGTTAGCACTCCATATTCCAGCCTGTTTGACATGAGTCGTTTGGACGAGACACCGCCAGCACGACCTCTCTTCTCCATGACGCACCCCCTCTCCTACTCCCGGGACATGTGGAAGTGTTATCCCTATGGTGCCTACCACGCCCTCTACAGCAGTTATTACTATGGAAATAGTTCGTGCCTCTCTCCGGAACGGTTGATGCTGGGAGTGCCAAGCCAACAGACCACAGGGCTCGATCTCTCCTGTTCTTCCTCCAGCTTGCTTTCAGACGACAACCTCTCGCCCGAAAAGCGCTCTTTTTCGGACATGTCAATTGAAGGTAAGAAAGGTCTATTCAAATGTTTGTTGTACGCTAAAATTTAAAATTACTATGAGGGGGAAATAATTAATTGAGGCAATTTACCATTTCAGTTTTTTATTCAATGGCAAGAATTTAATCTTAAAAGAAGAATAAATAAGACAATTTAGAGTGCACGATATTCATGTATATACATATACAGATATTCAAAAGCTGGAAAGAATCAGAAAAGAAAGAAAGGGAATACCGCAGCCAAACAAGTGGAAATACCTTAAACAAGAAATATAAACTGCCCCAATCACATAATTCTCTTTTGCACAAATTGTCATAAAATCTAAATATTAATATGTTTTATATACACTGCGAGAAATTGCTTTATTACATGTATTGCAAAGTCACAGTGTCGGTAGCAGTTTATTGTGAAGTTACAAAATCTTGGTTATCGCGGGTGCTTGGTGTGTTTCCGATAAGTAAGGTTGATGTCACCCCAGGAAAGATCAGATTGAATCATTAAGTGATCATGGAAGGCTTCTTCAATGCTCCTCCTCCTACATGCATTAAAGATGGCGGGCAAACAGCAAAACAGCGCCGAGTTTTTGCCAAAAATGACCAATCTTTACATATCTAATTCCAATCTTTTTTTGTTTTCCTTAAAGATAATTGAGTGTGGTAATCAACTTCCTTGTCAAAAATGCTTTCTTAAGTGTTAATTTTCAAAAATATGAGTTTAAATGAGCATACCCCCTCTGATTTCAAGATGGCGGCTACATAGTATCTTGTAAATGTAAGCTTGAAATATTATAAATAACAACCAATGAAAATAATTATAAATTATTATTTAAAGTGACGGACACCTGCATAATTGCTTGCGGTTTATGTTACAACTTGATAACAATATTTTTGCGAAAGATAAGGACTACCAACGGACATGAGAGAAGAATTTTAATGTATTCATAGGAAATTATTTTGAATGAGGGAAACTTATGAAGCAGAAAGACAAGTATTTATTGTATAGGATTCTGTGTCATGCACACTCTGGCCGCTGGGAATTCAAGCTTTTCTTGCAACGCTAACAGATACGTCATTTGAAATACATTAGATCCGCCATGACGATTACTATGTAAAGTAATTGAATATGTTTGCGTTACAGTCTCAACGTTTTAGATTTCACGGAGAATAAAATAGAAATTTTTAATAATTTCTAAAGGAATTACAAATTACTACAATAAATTTTTAATCTTTTTATATATATTATTTATCAGAATAAATATATATTTTTTCAAGCCTATAAATTCCATCAAAATTCATGATAATCAGAAAACACCAAGATTTCATATAAATTTTCCTCCGAACACTTCAAAATAGAATATAATAAATCCTATTATTTTTCTTCCACAGAGGAAAAGAAGTCCCCCAAGCCCTTTGACTTCCACCACATGGCAGAGTCTGTAATGAGGGATGAGGAGGAATCTGACGACAAATCCCCCATCAACAAAGACCCCCTCATCATTAGCCACGCCCTCGAATACATTTCTTATCTGGAACAAGCAAGGTTTGTTTCTCTGTTTCAAATATGACAAGAAACTACCTACATGTATTTAATTTAAAACTTCTATTCAAATAAAATTAATTAAAAAGTAAATATCGCTTCCAAATTTGCGTATAGAAGTATCTGAGTGCACTGGAATAAGAATTTAATGAACACACTTTTAGAAGAATAACTCCCAATTGAAGTGACATATACTGCAAAATAATTTTTCCCATCTTTAAAAATAAATCAACATTTTTTTTAGTTATGGAAATAAGTAGTCAGGGCACTCTGAAAATGTAAACAAATTTAGAGTTAACTTCTCTTGATTTCAAGCACTTTCTCTAATCTTTATAAAGGAAGTAATATTCTTCACTGATTTAGACACTCTACACATAATATCTTGCGGTAAAATTACGCTAAATTCGCGGCTTTCCCATGTGACTACCGACATACTTCAAACTTTCCGCATCGTGTTTTTACATGCGGTTAATAAATGATACAGCAAATATTATGAATCGATGAAGCATGCCATTAGAAAAACAATATTTTCTTATTATATTAACCCCAAAATGAAAACAAATTAAAGCGAAAGAAAACTATATAAACCTTCATCAAATATATCTACTCTTTGTAAGACGTGTAAAACCCATATTGAATCTTTCAGGCTGCGTTCGTACTTGCCAATCAAGTTCCCCCTCCACCTTCAAAAATGTAGTTCTCTCCCTGAGCGAAGAGGAAGGCGCCACAAAAAGTAAGATTATTACAATAAATATATATAGCAGGGTTCAAGTGTTAGCAATAATAAATTTTTGGAATATTTCTTTTAATGAAACAAAATGTATTCTTGTTACTTGGAATAATTTATTTATTAATTTGATTATATTATCTATTTACTTTTTTTAGGCAGAAGAAAGAATATATCTGTAAATACTGCGGTCGCCATTTTTCCAAATCGTACAATCTCCTCATCCACGAACGGACGCACACTGATGAACGCCCTTTCCCCTGTGACATATGTGGAAAGGCTTTCCGACGTCAGGATCACCTTAGAGACCACAGGTAAATACATGTGTACCTTGATTCTTTCCTTTTTATTGTTTCTTCCTTCGAAGACGTATTAGCACAAATAAAATGTTTGGATGAAGATAGAAAAAAACTGTTAAGAGTGAAAAAAAAAAACACGTGAGTTCTAGGTTTTAGCTTCTAGCACAACAAATTTCAAAACATTTTGTAAAATTTTGTTTTAATAAATAGGTACATTCACTCCAAGGAGAAGCCGTTTAAGTGTGTTACTTGTGGGAAGGGATTTTGCCAGGCCAGAACACTAGCTGTTCATAAACAGACCCACGAGGTGAGGACTATAGCTTTATATCTAAAAATGTCAAAACATATTAAATAAAATATAAAGTGAGTAAATGTCACCAACTATGACATTGATATATAACAAATTTTAATAGATTTCTTTTGAATTTTAGCAGGTGTCTTAGAGGAAAAATGCATTGTATGGGTTCATTGGTGCCTCTGATGTCTCGTGTTAAGATACTTGCGCTGGACGTTTCTTATTCCGATCCCTGATTTGCAGTTGGACAGTTCGTTCTCAGAAACAGAGTTTCGCATAGAGCAAAGCGAACTGTTATTGGGTTCGTGAACACCAGCGTAAAGCCGATGGGACAGTGCTGCTATAATATTGTTAAGTTGTGGTTTGTTAACAATTTTGTTAGTGTATTTTTGTTGTTTTTAAATATTATGTCATGTTCATTTGTGAGAAACTTGTGAAGGACATGTTAACTTTCAACATGCAATTTATACATACAAAACATTCCAGAGAGGGAGAGAGAGAGTTTGTACATATATGATATGAATACATTAAATTAATCCACATAAGTAAATTTTCTTTGATTTTTTCCAGGAATCATAAAGCAGAATTTATTAATATGATATATAATGAGAAGTAAACGCTTGCCATGGCATTTACACTCGACTTTCATATATCAAAGACTTGTTATCCTTCAATTCATAGGTCGGCTTGATATATTCCAGTTAACTTGAAAGTCTGTTCCATTTTTGGATGTTTTACTGACTATAGACGATAATGACCGAACAACAACTAAACAACAAAATTGTATAACAAACAAGACGACTTCAGCTTTAAGATCGTCCTCTCTCCTTATTTATGAAGTATTATTCCGCTATTACCTGCATATGTTGTTATGTCTCCCAGCTAGAATGCTCTGAATACGATTAATTTTTAAACCAAGGCCGGCTACTGACATATAAGTGAATGTTACAGTGATTTCAACATCCTCATTTACAGTCAGCATTTCGTAAATTCTATGGTCGTTATAATGACCTTGTAAGCAAATACAACCTATCATTGGGTCATATATTTCATTCCAGTTGTTAGGCCTTTGATTTCAATTAAATTTGACTATGGTTTAATCCGTCTACCTGATTAATACAAAGGGCTCACAATTAGTGTAACAGGTCGAAAGGGGATCCTTACTCTTCCTAGGCCCCTGATCCCACACCTTGAATTTTTGGGGTCTGTGTTTTATGCTATGTTAACAGATTTGTATTGTTTTTTTGAGATGGATCACTGTTCAATATCTTTACCTATTTCACATGGTATACTACAGTATAATCGTTAAATACATGTATTAGTTGTTAACTTCCTCTGTTATTGATAAAGGTACTCAGTGGTTCTGTACCACAGCTTTTGAATTGATTTCTCTGAATTTTTTTTTAATTAACAGTTTGTGTTGTAGAATAACTCAAAACGTCTAAAATACTTTTTTGCTTTTATTACCAATCTTGCTTTAATACGAGGCAGGCTCATAGCAATGGTTTTTTTAAAAAAAAAAAAGGGGGGGACCTTAAAAAAAATCAAGCAAAACAAAAACAAACAAACAAAAAAATGTAAAACTCTAAAATCCTATTTCGTGGGGAAGGGAGGAATTTGCTAGTGCTCGACCTTACAGCAACAACAATGTGTGTGTGTGGGGGGGGGGGGATCTAAATGACAATTTACTATATCAAAATACTGATCTCAGAAAAAAGTGGTTCTACGGGCCTGTTACGGGGACAAACAGGTTTTAATCACCCATAAGATATCTTAAATCTTGACTGCTATGTATTCATATAATGAGAATTACGGTTGTAAGAAAGTAGCACTTAGGTTATATACATGATGCATCTCTTAATATACATATCCGTTTTATCGGTTTACATAGATAAGTCAATAGGAGCTGAAGAGCTTCGGGAGGACAGGAAATACTTAAGACAAAAGAAAAGCCCAATACAGTTTCTAAAACTACATCCGAAGCGCGCTGTGTTCAGTGTAATGCGTATACACGGTATTTACGGAGAATGATTACATGCACAAGAAGTGTGTACTAGTATTTTCAACATTTTTAATTATACAGTATCTTGTCTACTTTTTGAAAATACAAAATAACCGTGTTCTTCTGACACAATAATTAAAAAGCAGCATGCATAACACAAAAGCCAACTACAATTAATGCAAGTTATTTTACATTTTTAGTATGAAAAACAATGGAGACAAGTAAAGTATTAGATATGTATCGGCGTTGTCTAAAAGTACGAGAGTATGACAAAACAAATAGAAACCACGAACTTCAAGATGTCACCTAGAATTTTCTTAGGAAGCAAACACGAACTCTCGTTCTATCTAACTAAGTAGCCAATTACATGATAACTTATCAAATTTACACTTGTTTCCCAAGCACATCATCATAATTTTCAATCACTTCTTAAGAAGCGGTGTTGGTAGAAGTCATCATAAAAGAATTCTTTTGGTCAAAAGCCAGCGTTTTGCTTTATGCGATAAGGTACATTATTTAATAAAGCACCAATTCAAGATAATTATGAGGTTAGTGCAACACGTATAAGGACCGTCGAAATGATATAGTCACGGCGATACTATGTTCAATGCCGGCCAATATGTATTTTGACTCATCAAAATTCTTTATAGCTCATATATTGCTAAATATAGATTAAATACAGATTATCAATCAATCAATCAGATCTTAAGAGAACAAAAAAAATTAATTAAAGACCGAGATCATTTAGGAACAGTTAATTTTGCTATTTTTCGTACTGTGTCACATCCTTGAGCTTGACAAATGACTATTATCTAAAGATTCAGACACATGAATGAGTAAAGAATCTCTTTTAAAAACAAAATTAAGCAAGAAGTGAATATCTTAATCAACAAATAAACTCTATGCGTGTGGATTTCTTGCTTGGCTTGCTACTAATAATGAAATAGAAATGTACTTTAAAAATAAGAAGAGAGCGAATTACACGGAGGCATCATTCAAAATAATAATAACCCCCACTCCAAGTCAACTTCTGTTTTATATGTCCAAAAGTCCCTCTTCAGATTTTAGACTTCAGATACATTTGAGTCGGAGTGGTCCTTCTGACTGAGACTTAACACTACCAGCCATGGGCAAATTTCTCTCGCATCTTCAGATGTTCACAGTGAACACGGTACTTATTCAAGTATCTAACACTCATCAGAATAAAGTGACTGAGCAAATGACACTGCATATTTCATAATACGTCAAGTACCTGCTTGTACTAACTCGTGGATATACTACAGAAGTAAGAAACTATTGACTGACGATAAGCCAGATGTCTTATGCTTACTGAAGGTCGTGTATTAAGTGAATATTAATATGTCCGTTTTGATTTTACTTTTTTTTTTAGTTACAAACCAATATGTTAAATTTTCTATGCTTTATTTCGCTCTACGGTAATTTAAAATGTATCTTTTTCTGTTAACTAAAGTTGTGAGTAGATACCCAATAGTACTTGTATACGACATTCATCAAATATAAACTCTCTTTAAAATAGTGGTACAGTCAGCGAGCAAACAAAAATACCCCCTCTGCATTTTTTTTAATGCAGCAGCCATTTTTTTTTGTTACAAAGAAATAAACTCGAATGACAGATTTTTTTTCTGCCAGTCACATCGAACTTGCCAAAACAACCTTAGGTTTAGGTCCTAACACATCCTCAGCTCATTGGAAACATTTGTGCTAAGAATGAGCTTTCAAAATTTCTCAGTTATAATATTTTGCACGTATCATACATTTTTCTGAAAGTGACCTTCAACTTGACAGAATGTCTTTGCTTCAAGGTGTTGACACACCCTTGGTCATAAATAATATTTTTATTTGAAATATGAATTTCCAGTGCTTCTCCTTTAGAAAGGAAAGGCGGACTAACCATGAATTTTACATTTTTTGGCAAGTGACCTTAGACTTGCCTAAATGACCTTGAGTCAAGGTTACGATATACTTTCAGCTCTCATCCAATTCCAATACTTCTTCATCAGAAAGTTATGGACCAAACACGAATTATAATATTTTTTCTATCTTGAACTTAAACTTAGGTCAAGGCCATGACACACCTTAAGGCTATAAGTAATTTTTGTGAAAAGTATAAACTTGGAATGTTTCTCCATTACAAAATTACGGCTCGAACTCGATTGCACGAACAGCACATTTACATATCGGTCTCTGTTACAAAGGGAGCTATGAGTTTTTATTTCTGTTGAAATTTATTTATTACTTAGTATGCTGTTAAGTATGCCAGCTTAAGGTGACAGACCAATGAGTTTTGAAATAGTCATGCAAAATAAATGAAAATATTAGTTTTATAGGCTAATGTATGGAGGGTTTGATTTGACATCATGTTGACAAGGTAACCATAGTACGCATAGGGAAGAATGCTGTTACATGTACAAATGAGGGAAAATACTGAGAAAAAAAAGTTGAGTTCCACAATGAATTTAATACATATTCTGGGTAGTATCTGTGGAGTTATATGTGAATGGTTCACTTTGCAAACTGTCCAGAGAACCATTCTTTAAATCATGTTTATCTCTTTATTTCCTCACCACAGAGACTGACGTATTTAATTTGTGGACAAATCCGCAGAAGAACGACTTCTTGATACGGTGTGACGGTACATATTGTCGTTTTGTACATATTGTCGTCGGCGACAATATGTACCTATCCTCTCTGCACATACTGTCGTCCATCAGTACATATTGTTGCCGGCTGAAAAGTTAAACATGTACATATTGTCGCTGGCGACAATATGTGCCTTACCCCCACTGCACATATGGTCGCATCACAGATATTGTTGCTTATAGAGTTTTTTGTTGTATTTTTGTAGTTTTGTGAATTTAATTGGTGTGTAAATTACAATTATGTGTCTCGTATGCTAATTCATGCAGCGCGATTGTGACGGTACATATTGTCGTCCTGTTCATATTGTCACCGGCGACAATGTGTACCTACCCTCACTGCACATATTGTCGTCCATCGGTACATGTCACAGGACAATACATGACAATGCTTCCATATAAATATGACTAATCATTGCTTTGCTGTTCTTGAGAAGATTTTAAACAATTTCCTATACATTCATATGTAAAACTTTGATCGCCAATTGTGGCCTCACCCTTAACCCGGGGGTCATGATTTGAAGAAACTTGAATTTACACTACCTAAGGATGCTTCTATGTAGTCATCACTAATCATTGGCTTGTTATTCTTGGGAAGATTTTTTTTCTGTATATATTCCTGGGTAAAACTTTGATTGCCCACTGTCGCCCCGCCCTACCCCTGGGGATCATTATTAGAACAAAATTGAATGTACCCTATATAATGAAGCTTTCACAAAAGTTCCTGAGAAGAAGATTTTGATTTCCCCCCTATATATTCCTATGTAAAACTTCGATCATCTATTGTAGCCCAACCCTTCCCTCGGGGGGCATGGTCTGAATATAATTAAATCTACACTTTGTTATCAAGAAG